TGATCTTTCGAGGTCCCTTCTAATTCCTAATGTTCTGTGATTCTTGTGCGATACACATTAAATAGAAAGGTTTGCAAACAAAACTGTGGTGAATCCTCAGGTTCTTTGAAGGATTTTTTTTTATTCTGGCTCTTCTTTTTCAGGCTAACAGCTTTAAAAGATGTCCTTAGCTTGACCAACTCATCACACACCCCTGTGTTCCTAGAGAAATTTGCTTCTGCCTGTCACCCTAGAGGTGTGGCTATGTGGCTGCTCCCCACTGCAAATAACCCCTGCGCCTTGCAGGAGCCTCCCTGTCTCCATTGGCGATGCAGGTTTCCTGCTCGCTGCCTCACCTGCTTTTGCAGGTGAATCCACTGACGCTGTTTTTCAGCAAGATGTTGACTGCTGTACCGGCGTAGCAAACTGCAACTGAATTGAAATAATTTTATCCTCCCTTACTGAAAGGGTTTTCTTTTGTGCTTCAAGACATGACTTTATAAAGTTTGAAAAATTATGTAATATAACTGTGTCTCCTAAAAAATCTGTTAGTATTGGAAATTGTGGCCTTCATTAATGCACAGAACATTATGTCAGCAATCAGAAGTCTTTGTGTGCACCATCTCAGGGTTTTCTTCCTTGGCATGGGGGATGGACAACTTTCCAAGGTCAGAGAGCAGTGAAGTGGTTTTTCCCAGAGCAATACACCAGCCCCTATGCCAAGTTTGCCATCAGTTGTGGTTTTTGATACAGTGGCATTTCTCTGTAATTATAATTGAGTCCACCAACTCCCTTTGCTCTTTTACCAAGAAGAGGCACTAAAGGTAAAACCACAGCTAGGTAGAAGTCATGCCTGTCGTGTTACAAAGCTGCAATTACAAAGCTGTGGCTAATATCTTTCAGTCATTACCATATCAGCTGGATACAAAAGGCTTTCTAATGAAGCACAAGTTGATGCTGTTTAGTTTACAGACTAATTCTCCATTAGCTAAGGCAATTTACCACTGCACTTCTTAAAGTGCAGATCTGTAGCGGTTCTCAAAATAAAAACCTACTCATGCAAGTAGATTTCAGTAAGTAGTGAAAAGAGATAGAATAAACAACATTTATTCAGGAGCAAAACTAATAATGCATTCTTTAAAGGTATCTGTGCAAAGAAGGGTGTAGACTGACAGCAATACCTTAGGTTGTAGCAAGCAAATAAATGTTTATATCCTCAGCTATACCAAAGAAGTTGTTCTGTGAGTAATTGCGGAAGCACAAGAATATGCCCATTCGCAGAAACATACACTAGTGAAAACTATACAGAGGAACGTAAGACTAGCAAAAGAAATATGTTTTGTGTAAACAGTAAAACAAATCTCCCTTCTGTTCCTTCAGTCCTGAGGTGATTTCTCATTCTTACCTCCTTCTAGTGACCAGATTAATCATTGCTTCACATAGCTGATGTGATGTGGTCCTACTTCCTGATGAGAACTGAGATGCAGAAAAATAAATAATTTTTCCTGTTCTTTGCTTACATGGAGTTTTAGGGTTCAAATTGATAATAAGTTTAAAATGGCTTTTAAACAAATAGATTTAAATAAAACTGTATTTGGGGAGAAAATACAGCTGAATTCAGGTGGGAAGCTTCCATTTTGGAACTCTCTCACTGGGTAATACTCAGAACTTAACCATGTTTAATTGATGGGTTTTTTCTCTTCTACTGGAAGATCTGCCTAAACAAATACAACATGTCTGTAAACAAAAGATGTAATTTTCCTAGGACTACTGGACAGAATAACACCAGGAGTTGAATCTGTTCTTATAAAAATTGAACTTTCTGTTAGGCCTGTGGTCCTTTGTCCTTGTATGGTTGTAAATTTCTGTCTTTTCTGTCATGAAGGTTTCATTTTGATTGCTGGTATCACTAGAGCTTTTGATTCTTACAGCTAGACAACCTTATGTAAAAATGATAATCCTTTTATGAAGATATTTGATGGGTCTCGCTACCCTGGCTGCACGGACCAAGTCAGCAGGCAGAGCGGTGGGGAAGGCGAGACCTCATGTCCGCCAGGAGAGCACCCTGCAGCATCAGCTCTGACTTAGGGCTTGGCTGTTTTTTGAAGATGAAGATGTTTGCAGGAAAAGAATAGGGATTGTTCACTCCACAGTGACCCATTTCGCTTTCCTTCGCACTTGGCACAACTACTGTCGCATCCAGCAGTAGTCATGAGGATCATCCCTGCACTTTGAGTCTAAGCTGGGTTTGGCACATTTTTAATCTTACACATCTTACATCTGCTTCATCCATATGAGCAGTCCACGTCACCTACATCCATAGTGTACTGACCTTATAAAATATCCTCATTGCCTATAGGAATAGGGTCTTATTTTCAAAATGACAAGGACAACTAAATCTGAGCTGAATTACTTGATAAAAGAGAGAGCCTGGAGTGGGTTGGAAAGACTAAACCCCAAGAAGGGGCAGAAGCATCTTCTGAAACATTGTTAGGTGCAGTTGAAAGAAATTAACTAACTCCTGTAAATTCCCTGAGTCAACATTAAAAATATCCTAATCTTGTCTGGGCTGTATTTAGGGTTAAATAATGTAGAGTTATGCCAATAAACAGTGGAGCACATGCAATCTTAATGGTCCAAATAGGGTGTGTATTTTGGGCAGTGCATGCTGTCATTCCTCTCAGGAACCTTTCAGCACTAATAAGCAACCTCTGCATAAACAGATCTGTTCTGGTGGTAAAAAACAGCTACTTATGTAACACACAAGTGAGATTTCATACTGCTAACCTAATCTCAAGTGTTTTCTTTCCTTGCCTCTTCTACTTAAGAGGAACTGATAGCTTTTATCTTATTTTTACTGTAAAAACATGCAAACCATATATTTAAGTCAAAATCTCCTGGAGGATATAATTTAGAAGGAATATTTTGCTATGATTGCTTCTCCCCTAGAATACTGTAAACTGCCTGGTGGTTTAATAGTTTGCTATTTGAAATACCATATGCTAAAAGATGAAGATCTCAGTATATGGAATTACACCTGCTAAGATCTTCTTCCACAAGTTTGTTTTGACTCTTCTGTTTGCTTCTGAATGCTAGATGCTGCTCCTCATTGCTTTTTGCCAAAATAGTAGATTTCTGGTCAATATTTAGGTAAATGAAGTACAGAACACTGGCCTCTGTGTTTTAGTATTGGAATTAAGCCTCGTTGCTCCCACCCATAGACGGCTAGTAGTGTAAAGAAAGAAGTTAAAAGTGTCCATGTAGGTTTTAAGAGGATTTATCTGGTGCTACCAGAAACAAAGTAAGCCTGCTGATCGTCTGAGTTGATTTCTTGCTCTGACCTAGAAGCTTCTCACTCTGACTGGTGTCAGGACAAGACCCAATCGCTCTTGCTCACGACGATGAAACCCTTCTTTCCTCCTGTTTCATGACAGGTAACCTGGGGTCCCAGCTGGTTGAGTACAAAGAGGAGATGTACATCACGTCTGACTGTGGGAACACGTGGCGTCAGGTAGGAAACAGAAACCATCAAAGGAAGTAATTTTAATGTACCAAATGTGATGAATTTTATAATGCTTAACTAAGCTTTATATACCCACTCTTTTGAGAGAGGTGACTGCTATTATACCAATTTCACTTGGCAACTGGGAGAGGGATTAAGAAAATGATTTGCAAAACCTCAAATAGGTTGCGCTGTCATGTTCTGCTGAAACTTGAATATTTTGACCTCTTTAAAGATCTTATAAGTATCTTGTGTAAGAAACATTGAGTCTGTTTAGATTTTTAATAATTTAACTAATCTTTCTATGCTAATGATGAAGTGGATTTGGGCTACATCTTGCAGTACAAATATTCCACGCTAAAAACCAAAATATTCCAAGCAAAAAGTCATGGTTTAGGTAGAAAGGCAGAAATTCTTCTGCTTCATGGTCTGAAAACTGTTTATTAAGCTTAAACTTTGTTCTTCATTGAAACTGAGAAATCAAAAAGAGATTTAAAAAAAAAACCTAACACAATATACCTCTGAATGTCTTTTAGTATGATTTTATCAACTCTGGGATTACAAACACTAAAGTATTCAAAAAATGAACAGCCATGTAGTAGCTGTAATGCTGTTTGAATTCTGAATGCCTTTTTTTTTCCAATGCCTAGTGCCAATTTAAGCATTGTACCTTTAGTATTTATTTTTTCCTAGATTCCTCTGTCACAGCAATGATTAATCACAGATATTTTCTTTCTGTGTGTGTATAGCAACAACACACAATATGATTTGGAGACTTGGAATCTACTTATTCTGAATATCCAGGAGAAAAAAGAAACACCTTTGAAGGACCAAAGTGTGTCCAAAAGTCATTTAATTTAAGTTAATATAGCATTTCAGTGTTCAGCTGAAATGAAATTGTATTATTTTCTGAGAACAAGTAAGTGTGAATATGCTTTCCCTAGTGTTACTGAGCTTGGGAAGTTTGAGACTAAAAGAGGAAAATACAGACAGTTTCTTATATTAATACTCCACAGAAGGACTTTTAAAAAGAAATACATTGTTTTTGTCACGATAGAGTCCTTTGAGGCTTATAAGATAATATTTTATACCTAATTCCTTCTTGAAATCTAGCATACGATAAATAGGTGTTTAAATGCAAAAGCCTTCTAGGACTTACAGTGTGTACTATGTCGCCTAATACTTCACAGAGGCCTCTCTAATAATTTATTGTCACTGTTTGCCGAAGTTCTGTAATTTTTGCTGGGGTGAAAAATAAGAAGAAAAGAGTGAAAGAGATCAAATTCCTATTTTTGCAGCTTTTTATTCGTGAGACACTCAGGCAAATGATACGTGATGAAACTTGACCTTAAGATTACTATTCATGCTGTAAAATCAACCACAAACTGATCCCTCATTATGACAGTCAAAATTAAAAACACCATTGCTAGCTTTATTTTAATTAAAACTACTATGAAGCCTTTGAAAGTGCTTACTCAATCTTAATATTTGTGATCAGAATGAAAATGCACATTATTGTATGCATTTTATGGCCTCACTGTTCGTGATCAAACAGTTCTTCTAGAGGACAGCAGTACATTTCCTTTCTCAGTTGGAGTTCATGCAACAAAAGATGAGGCTTCAGTCAGATGATACGGAAATTATTTAGACAGTAAATTACAGGTTTTCTAAGCTGGCAAAAGCAGAGTAAAGCTCATGTTTTGGCACAACTCTTTGGGCGGGTTTAAGTCACTGACTTGGAAACTTTGCGGTTGTCATTTAGTGAGCGCCTGTCACCTTTCTTAATGCCACACGTGGTGGTGTAGAGCTGTCTACAGACTAGAAGAAGAGCAGTCTGTGCTTGTGTAAAGTGACAGAGAAACACAGAAAAGTAAATATAAAAGACTTAGGAAAAAAGGCAGTGCAAGGAATTAATTAAAAGCTTTCCTGAAATAATAGCTGTATTGGTTCATAGGAATATAGGAATGGGAGGAAGATAAAAAATCATGTAATCCAACCATGGGCTCTAAAACCATCAAATGTACTAAGAGCATCTCTAACAGAGGTTTTCCAGACCTATTTGTTAATCCTTCACTATAGGAGACTCTGCAGTCTGGCTATGTGGTGTTTCACCATTCTTGATAGTTTTTTCTAAATATTAAGCACAAGCTGCTTGTGCTTTTTGCTATTGTTCTTGCAGTTTCACAGATTTTGCAAGGTAAGTTGTTTTTTCTTGTCTTTAAAGAGGAGTGGTTTCCTGCCACCTCTGAATAGCTTTTCAGATGTTGAAAGGTGGTTATCACGTCTATCTAGAACATAGGTGTTTTTCCCTTGGAACTTAAATCCACTGATTTTCCTAATGGATCCAATTTCCAAAGTGCTTTTCCTTTTTGTTGCTCATTGATTGGACTACCTAATATGACACCCTCTCCTGAAACATGGTAAAACGGAATCCAAAATTCCAAATTTTATCAGTACTGAACAGAATGAAATTATTTCCCTTGTTGTCTTGACATTACCGACACTTCATTTCAGAGGATATCTCTGCTTTGCGCTAGCATCACATTGTTTAGTTTGTGATTCACAACTGGGACCACTCCATGAGTTCCTGAATTTATAATACATTCTCAATTTAACAATGATCCACTGATCATGTTCCTTCAATAATTTCTTAACCATCTGTATACGCTTAAAATTTTTTCAACTCAACTCATGTTTCCATAGCGGTATGGTAAGGTCATATGAGAGTTCAGGAAGACTTGCTCTGGTAGGATATACAGCCAGTGCTCGTAAGTAGAAATAAAAGTGCCCAAATGAGTGTTTTGTGAAATTAAGTAAATAGTAGTGATAAATGTAAAAGTGAAAAACAAGGCTTCTGATTATAAGTAGCCACACTACCATGTGGGCTGGCTCCAGTTGTTCTGTTGCCACTCTGTTGCATGACACCTGAGCTGCTTATTGGTATTGCTCTTACTGTGTACCATTTTAAGGCAGACTGAAATTTGTGACTCTGTACTGTGCAGCCCGCACTGTAAATAGCAGTAGTTTAGGAGCTGGTTGACAAGTAACTTAAAAGTCCATGCAGCAGCAGTGATCTGGCTGCAGGAGAAGGCTATCTCACCTTGACATTATCATGAACTATGTGGACTTAGATCATCTTAAGTGAACCACGAAGATGTAGCCTAAGGTGAACTCATGGGACAGATATGTCTATTTGGAAGATTTCTCTGTCTATTATACCAGGAAAACAATATCATAAAATGTGTTAATGAACATGATACTGAGTCAGATAGGTAAATAAATTTTGCAACCTCAGAGAAATAGGCTACCTTTGAACACAATTTCAGACCATACAGGTTTTCAACATTTTTTTTTCCCTCTGGGGCCTGGTTTTTTCAGCCCTGATTTTTAAAATATTGGGATACTCTGTCAAATGCTGAGGATGACCTTGTATATACATATGAGTGTGCTTTATTTATTTCTTAAAGAAACTGATTTCTGTTCACAGTTACGGTTGCCATTGCTATTTCAACAGCATCTGTTACAACACTGTGGTTGAAATAGGGCAAACAGAGTAAGAGAAAGGTCTGCTTTGCAAAAGAAATGGCTTAAAAGAAAGGAAAAAAATCTGCAACAGAAAACCTTTCATATTTGATCTAGTAGCTAGTGTAGCAACAAAATGCTCAATTATCTGATAAGTTTACAGTCAGAAAGACTTTCTGAGTCTTTCATATGTCTAGGGACTGAGTCTAGATGTCTGGAGCTTTAGTCCAGTGCTTTGTTTGGTGGAATATAGTTTCTCTATGTCAAATCCTTTTGTATAAAAGCAATTTTGAAAATGTTTGTTTAAGTGAGAGTGCTTGTTTTTCTGAAGACATCTTAAGAGATGGATGGTAACACCTTTAAGCAAAACAGTAAAAGCTGCAATCTCAGCCACCTGCCCTTTGGAAGGTCCAACTGGCTCATTCTTCATGGGAAAACTTCTGTTTGCAGATTTAAATTTAGAAATGGATGTCCCTTGGTGAGAGAATCAAGTAACCTTGGGGCATTTTGGGTTATTTTTGAAACTTCTGTATCTCAGAGTAAAATTATGTAGAGTATATTTCTCTAGGATAATTTAAACATGTTTTCATTGATTTCATGGAGCTCTCCTAATTGCTCCCAGCAGATATTCTGGCCAGAAATAGCTGCTGAATTTGTTAGGATAGACACAGAATAAAACATTTAGAGCAGAGGGAGGAGAGGGAGAGAGAAGTTGACACTGTGATTATAAAGCACATAACATGCTTAAAACATTACAGATGAAACAAAAAACATAGAAATACATTGTAAAAACCTAGTTCTGTAGTGATTGGCTACTAGTAAGGATCATAATAATTTTATTATCTAGTTTTAATTAGTGGAGAGACATAAATCAGAATTCGTGGCTGACTGCAGACATACATAGCTCATGTTCCTGGGTTTGAACTTCAGCTCTGACGCTGGAAGCACCTTTGCCTACATCTTTGCAAACTCTTTGTCTTAGTTTTGTTTCTAGGAAGCAGAAAGAAATATTTACTTTTGTGCTGAAGTCTACAGGCATGAAATTACTCATTTTTTTCATTATGCTGAAGATCGTAGAATCACAGAGTGGTTTGGGTTGGAAGGGACCTTAAAGATTATCCAGTCCAACCCCGCTGCTGTGGGCAGGGACACCTCCCACCAGACCAGGTTGCCCAAAGCCCTGTCCAACCTGGCCTTGAACACTTCCAGGGAGGGGGCATCCACAGCTTCCCTGGGCAACCTGTGCCAGTGTTTCACCACCCTCACAGTAAAGACTTTCTTCCTAATATCTAGTCTAAATCTGCTCTCTTCCAGTTTAAAACCGTTCTCCTTCATTCTGTCACTACCTGCCCTTGTAAAAAGTTCCTCCCCAGCTTTCCTGTAGGACCCCTTCAGGGACTGGAAGGCCACAATAAGGACCCCCCGGTGTCTTCTCCAGGCTGAACAGCCCCAACTCTCTCAGTTGGTCCTCGTAGGGGAGGTGCTTCAGCGTTCATCAGAAATGTAACATATTTTGGTTATATTATTAACCAAAAATACTTGGTTTTATATGTGTGCAAGAAGAGCATGATATAAATATGGCATTTATGTACCTGTATTGTGTCTGCTGTGCTTTATAGTGTACCAAGTGGATGTAGAGTAAAGCTGGGGTGCTAGGAAGTGCCATGGTGCTTTTCTGGAAAAACCTAATTTGGATAAAGCGATATGGATACCAGCTTTCTTTATCTTCATTGTGATTGTGGAGCTTTTAGAGACTTCATACCCCTGTTTCATTTTGATTGCAGCAGAAGTTCAAATAAAGTTTAGAGGAGGATCAAAACTCTGCTTGCTTATCAGACTCCAGCTGATCTCATCCTTTTGAAGTGCATCTAAAATTAATGTCTGGTCTTTACTGAATTTTCTTCTAAAATATGCAGCTGTGTGGAACAAGTAGACAGCACTGTAAATGCCTCATATCAGGCTTTTGCCTGTAAATTGGCAACACTGGAAAGCTGATCAGGCACTTGAAGCCCTAGGATCCCCATGAAATATGCTCTTACTAGATAAGAGGAAGACTGAATTTTGAACCCAAATTAAATGCTCACTGTTTTTGAAGTAATTGTGAATGTGCTGTAAGATACTTTTTCTGGTTCGGTCTTGCTGATAAATCCGCTAAATATGGCATTTAGTATTGTGAAAAAGAAGCATTCGGTATTATCAGTATTTTTTCTTTTGCAAGGCAAACTAAAGCTAACCTTTATTTTTTTCACCTTTACTTTCTCAAAACATGAAGAAGGCTCCATGTTTGTCTATTAACTGCTGCGTGTGTAGTAACTCTCACTTTATCACCTGCTCTTACATTAAGTGAACTTTCACAGGCTAACAACATGAGTAAACCTTGTCTTAAAACAGATTTCAGATGTAGAAAAGGGAAGATCTCTACCTGTTAATTTATTTTACTACTGATGATGATCTCTAGAAAATGAATTAAAAGAATTTAGGAAATTTTGAATCCTTTATACAATTAAAACAATATTACATGTATTTTTGGTTCACAGTTCAGGGCAGCCTATCACATAAAGTTTGAATTTACACAAATCATTGACATGGGAAATGCAGAAAACATGCTTGCATCAATTATTTCAAGTCCTGCAAGGTCTGGAGAACTTGTGAGAAAGTCATGGGCAGCAATAGTTTTCCTGTTTTTCTTGGAATTAGACTACAAAGCATTTTATTTTTCAAGATACACAGAATATGGCAAATACTGAAGTAAGGTGATAGGTCACTTGGTGATATATAATAGGAAGGAATGCAGAATGCATACTGTGAGAAATATAAGCTTGGGCTAAAATCACTTTGGACAGTTTAATCTGACTGTGATTTGAACCTGAACGTTTTCTGATTCACCTGCTTAACTTCCTTTTCTTTTACAGCTGGGAGAAATATGAGAGTTTAACCGACTTTTATGTCCTTCTCAATTTGAAGTGCAGACATTATAAAACATCTAAGTATTTTACTCCTGGATTGCTTGTACATTTTATTTCCACTGTTTTGTATATTTGCTTAGCTGGCCTTTTTTTGTCTAACTTGTAGGTCTTTGAAGAAGAGCACCACATCTTGTACTTGGACCATGGTGGAGTTATTGTGGCCATCAAAGACACCTCTATCCCTCTGAAAATACTCAAGTAATCCTTCAGTCAGTTAAAGTAGAGCTATTGTGTATTTGAGACCTCAGGCAAAGTTCAGAGTTTAAGATGAGCATTTCAATGTGACCATGTATGAAGTGCAGGTGGAGTCAGCTTGATTTCATGTTCATTAAGTCAACAAAATGCAGGTGGATGTTTTTTTAAAGGTAGTGCTTCATGGTGCTGAAGGTACCATTGAATAATGCAGTAATCTTACTAAAATTTTCTTGCATCGGTGTGTATATCTTTGCTTAAAAGGCTATTCTAGAACTCTGCAGTACAAGCCATGTTTAGCATAATATCCACTACTGGTTTGCACCAGCAAACCGATATATGGTAGTGATGCTCAACCTATGATGCATATAAGGCTTAGGTATCCAGTCAGGATAGTTATATATTATAATGTAGGCTTTGGGAGTCAATGGGGAAAGAACTTAGGTGTGCTTATGTGCTGTGTAATACAGTATGCAAGAAGCCTTGTTCTTCTGAGTTATTCATGCACAAATTAACTGTAGTATGTGTAGATCCTGTCATGTAGTAACAATGCAGTAAATGGCCTTCTCGGCTTGTTTGGCAGGAAAGATTTGCTGCAAAGCATTTTGTTATAAAATACCAAGTTTTAAACTGCATGCTGGTGAAGTAAAGTATGGTAACATTATGTAATGGCACACAAAACTATTGTCTTCAGCACAAAAAATGCAAAAGATCTTTATTGCTTGTGACTAGCTTCATTTTTGCATAATACTGTATACACTGACAGGAACTAGGCTATGTATTCAATTAGCTAGAATGAAAGCTATCATTAACCTACTGTCCAAAAGACCTGGAGAAAATGTACAGAAGAAAAGTGACTTTGATTCATGAATTTTGGATGCAGAGTATTTGAAATACATTTTGCTGATTCATCAGCATCTTTTGAAAATGTTTAAGTGGATGGTAGCAGCTCTGAAGGGCCATCATCATGGTACTCGTGGTTACTGCACCTCCCACTTGTTTTAGCAATTGCACTGCTTTGCCTCTCATATTTCACTGACCTCTGCTTAGCAAGTCTCTAGCTCAGAGACTGCTAGAAAGAATGAAGTGTAAATTAACTTGCTCTTGAACCTACAAGTTACCAAGTTTGTTGTCAGACCTCAGTTTTTATCTGCCTGAGAATTTCCATTGTTCTGGCGAATTTCTTATATACCTTCTAATAAGGATTTGTTGTCCCTGGATATGTTGCTAAGGAAAAGATCACGTTAATATGATACACTGTCCAGGCATATTGTATTTTGTTGATTGTAAATCCTGGGCTTTAGTAGTGAGGGGTTGTTTTTTTCAATGAATGAATTCTGTTTTGTATAATAATGGCTGTAAATGAAAACCATTTCGGCTTTTTTGCAGGTTCAGCATAGACGAAGGCCAGACTTGGAGTACACATAATTTTACCAGCACTTCAGTCTTTGTAGATGGATTACTTAGTGAACCTGGAGATGAAACTCTGGTCATGACGTAAGTTTCATTTCATGGTTTCATCTCTTTTTTTTCATGTCTCTCTCTGCTTACGTGCTTGAGCATATTTTTATTTGTGGATGTTTGAGACGGCCCTTGAGTCAGTGGCTTTTGCTTCTTGCAGTCACAGAGTCTCTTATGCTGATGTCCAAACAGCCCTAGTATGCAACTTGTCTTTGAAATAGTATGAATGCAGTATTTCAGAATGTAAAGGTGACATGTTACATACATATGAAATTTTGCAAAGTTACCACCAGGCACAGTGGAATAATAGGATCACAAATATAAAACTGGAAAAAGCAGGTAAAAATAAGAACTGTTTCCTGCATTTTTTCTGTTTTCTACAGATTCTTAGACAGACTTCAGAAATGCTAAATATCTATCCCTTCCTCTTGGGAAAATTGTCTTCACAATGTAAACAACTATGTTGTTGTCCTAGTAACTAGCATTGCAGTACTTTGTGTAACCAAACACTGTGCTAGCAAATACACATTTAAAATCTGTGGAGTGACTGAGGCAGATGCTGTGAATAGAGTTAAAAATAACCAAATTCTGCAGCACAGGCCCTTGTTTATCTTTTTCAAACAGGCCAGGGACATCTGGATCTGAGCTGCAGGTTTTGCTCTGTATCTAAGATAAATGCTAATATTTTAGAAGTGTGTGAGACTTAAACCTGTCCAATTAGAGGGAAATACACACTGACTGCAGCAGAGAAGGGAAATGCGCTCAGAGATGTGCAGGTTGTTGCATGTGCTCCTATCGCAACAGCTTGGGTGATCCTTTATATTGGAGCTCAGTGTGTTCATGACAAGCTTTTTCTCCTAGGATTTACAAATAGAGCTGTCTGTCTAGTGTACCAGTACCATTTTCCACAGGAAAAAAAAATAGCCCAGTGTGGAGCTGTGTAAAGGATCCTCAGCAAAACAGAAGTCCTACCCAGTGTACTTAAAAGCATTGCGCCGCTTTCATAACACTGCACTGTGCAGGAGTGGATTTGGTCTACTCCTCCTTTCTTTCTCTGCTGTCCCATTTATTCTGTTACACATGTGTGACCTGATATGAACAGTACAACTCCTCCATCTTCTCCTTCTCTCAAGACAGGGTTTTTATATGGTATAACATATGCTACACAGAAATACTTATACCTCTGAATGAAGGATTTCCATTTATTTCAGTGGAAGTAGGGGGATGAAAAGCTTATCCTAAACTGTACTTACTGGCAGATAAAATGATATGTGTGATGGCTGTATTCTCTGTGGCTTTTATTATTATTAAGAACTATTAAAAACACTGATTCTGTGAAGATGTGCTTAAATATCTGGCTGAAAAGGCTAAAGAGATCATGTAAAATGATGCTTTAGTGACGTTATCCATCTGAAATACATAAAACCATAGCTAGATTTGGTACATGAGCACAGATTGACAAAAAAGCATCATGTTACTTGTGTGTTTCTAAGGGCAGGACAAAAGTCTGACTCCAGCATCTCAAGGACAGGCTTGTAGGAACTTACTTTGCAGAGCTAGTTCTACTGAAGGTGGAGGACATCAACCACTTACTGTCACGGGCTGGCCTTGAAAAGACTTGCAGCCTTCCTACCAGACTCTAAAGATAGTGGGAAGAATAAACTTCCAGTGTGTGTTTCCTTGTTGCCGTTATATCAGCTTGCTTGTCTCTCCTACTGCTTTTGATTGAATTTTTACCTTCAGGGTGATGTTGTCTTCCCAGTGGTGCTCTGTCTGACTTTACGTCAAGACCTTTTGTCATTCTGTCTGGCTTAGGTCATTTCCTCTCAAAACTTCATGCTTGTACTGAGTTGCTCTGCATGACTTAACTTATAGTGATTTGCTGATTTTGAGAAATGTCATCCACTGATACGTACTCTCTGAAGAAAAAAATCAACTCTACCATCTTTTCCATTTAGATAAAAAGTGTTTTTTCTTCTGAGTAGAACATGGTAAGGTGAATTTGTGTATGGTAATAGGACTAAATTAAGTGTCTTTCACCCTAAAGAAACCTCAAAACTGTTACTAAAGACCTCATCTGACATTTTTCCTTGTACAGACATTTCATTTTCTCCCTTTGGTAAGGAGTTTGTTTGAATAAGGACTTTCAGTAAAGAGTCCAGTTTCAAAATCTGCAGAAATTAGTAGAGATATCATAATTCTGGAGTGGGAAGGTAATAACTGAAAAAGTGTACAGAAAAATTGTGGAACAGAAGTTGTTTTATTCAAAGCTTCTAGAATAACCCACAAAAGAGTCTCAAAGAATATTTTACTTTTATGGAAAGCAGCTGTTACTGCAGGGTAAAATTCTGATTCCACTGAAACCAACTTAGGGATTTCCTTCAATGCTTTTATGTTTTATTAAAAAAAAATCCACAAAGAGATTAGCTGTTAAAGACATTAAGGGACCTGGTAACACTGTGTGAGAGAGACTTCTCATTCTCCATCATGGTGACTGGGATGTTGACCTGAGTCATAAGGGACTTCCATTTGAATTACTGTTCTGTCCTATCTTATCCAAAATGAAGTGGTCTGGAAAGCTTTACTGAAGAAATAGGGAATATGAACCTGGTTGCCTCAAGTCTTCATTTCAGAAAGTTTTGTGTTTTCTCCAAAACAGAGAAAAAACAAATGTTGACTCGTCAAAAGTTTTCTTAAAACTGAGTTGTCATCCGGCAGTCGACAGTAATCTAAATCATTCATCTGAATCCCCTGCAGTATTCAAAATAAGTACACTCAAATGCCAAGGAAAATATATTTTATGCCATTGTGCTCTGCAATAGACCTAGTTAAGATTTTTAGGAGTTTTAAGTGGTAAAGTATTCAAAAACTTTAGGAAACTCATTCTATGTTAAACTTAATTTCTAAATAGACTTAGTTAAGAGTTTTAGGAAAGATAAGCAATAAATTATTCATAAAGTTTAGAAAATTCAATCTGTGTAAAAATCTATTTCTAAACGAAGAGCTCAAATCCACCATTTATTGCTAAATGAATAAATAAGGTTTGCTACGGAATTTTCTCAACTACTTTATATATATTCATCAAAATAGTCCATGGCCTAGCAGGCTTTATTTTGTTTTAAATTCTTTAAGAATGAAAGTTACTGCAACCCAGTGGTATACAATGTATTATATTTGGGAAAAATTACTTAATAATGCTGGATTAAGTAATGGCCTAGCTCAGTGGAAAAAGGAAGAATTTTTGTGCATCTGAAATATTGATGTTCCTCTTCAGAAAACGTAGTTCATGTAATGAAAGTGTCAGACCTGTTAAAATGACTTCTAAATCACAGTTCAGCTTCTGAGAGTGTTTCCCAAACCGGGTTATTTAGATTGCAGTGTAAACCCAGTAGGCCCAATAACTGTGGTACCACAGACCATGAACCCTGTCAAAAGGCCAATAAGAGGTTCCGTAAAAGGACTGCTTTTCTTTATGTCAGGGAGAATCTTCCTTATGGGTAATTGTATTTTTTTTCCAGAGGGACTTTCTTTCCTAAGGTCTTGTAGAGTTAACCTGAGATTCTGCAGGGAATTTTATGACTTCTCTGAACTCCAGAACTCCTGCATGTGCATTTTGAAAGTCCATTGCTGCATTCCTGTTGGGTTCCTAGGTGATAATGGAAGTAAGAAAATAGTTTAAACTTAATCAAAACAAGGTGGATATGATACTAACAGGTGTTAGATGTTAGGGAAAACCCTCTGGATTTTTGCAACTGTCCATTCTTGTAGGAATGTCAAACTCACCTTTAACAACATCAGTAACAGTCAACATTACATGTAGTTTGTAGGACTTATTGTTGAGCCACAAATGGCAGCACACTACCTTTCATGTTGTCTTTGAGTATCTTACTAGGTCGAGGTACTTCTTTCTCATATTGCAACCTTCAAAAAAGTTAGATAAATGTATGGATGAGAATACTTGATTTCCCCAAGCAAATTCTGTTTTATTTGCAGTTAGTTAATCTCTTGTTTGAGAAACATTGCTCAGTCATGAAATGGTTGTTCTGCTCTCTGCATAATGAGAAACATATCTGTCTGTCAAGAGATGGAGGAAACATAGAAAGGCAGGAGGAGGATGGTGACCTTGATAAAAGAGCATTGAAGAAGCAAGCTAGTTACTCTGTTTCAGTCTAATCTTGATATCAGCTAATCCAGATGTACAGATGCCTGTTTAGTGGCAAGTCTAATGCTTTTGCTGGCATCTCCAGGGACACAAATGTTAGCAGAGCAAGTCAATGCATTGTAGTGTCACTGCCAACCTGTTAGCTTGGAGCTGACACCATAGGACTACCCTTATCTCTCTCTCGGCTCAAGAGACTTTGAGTGTTTAAAGCTTTGTTTTCAAGTTTTTTGTTTTTTCTTTTCTTTCCATAAAGTTTTCATAATATATTCAGAAGCATGGGAACATGATGATTTCAGTGTCTTGCTAAAGCCCAATACATTTTGAGGGCAGACATGGAAATATATTTCAATAAGAGGAACTGAAAGTCTGGGGAATCTGTCCTGTAAGAATCTTTTATCTCCTTATCCCTATTTAAAGGAGAAGAGAACAAGAGGAAAAGAGTAACACGTGACTTTTTTATTCAGATAATCTTCGTGTCATTTTGAGCCCCTATCACTAAGTGATTTGAGTGATTTATAATGTCATGTGTTTATCCTTAAATTAAGCCATTTTGTTCACTGTCCACCACATGTTTACTTCTACATAAAGCATCAGGCTAGGCACTAAATCTGCTTTTTTTTTTCCAGACAGCTTATATGTTAAAATGCTGTTCTTGGACAGAAATTTACCAAATAGATGGAAAAAAAAGTTGGAGGTAATTCACAAACATCATGAAACCACTGAGCTTCTGGATAAAATGGGAACACACTAATCCTGCTTCTCAGGACCTTCTCAGAACCTAACCATTCATTTCCATTCTTTTTCCCCAAAAGAGTTGAAACCAAGATGTTTTGGCATAAAAGAATGATTGGCAATTATTATTCTTTAGGGGCAG